TTATCCAATTTTACTTTTATTTTTTTCTTTGTCTGCTACATTTGATTTATAATATTTTACAGTTTTTTTCATAAAGAATTTTTTGTTAAAAAAAAAAGAAAAAAAAACATTCTAAGTTTAGTTTCAAAGATTTTTTCAAACAGAATTTCCTGAAAACATACAGCCTTCAGCGGGTAATATCAATAAGAAAACTACGAAATGCACAGCTATAAGTGATGAGAAGTAATTTTTCAGTGATGATAAAGAAGATGCATCAAAGGAAGATGGTGATGAATTTGTGCTTAAAGATGCCACTATCAGTCAAAAGAATCGAAAATACAAAGGAATAAGAGAGTTTCAAATTAGTCCCAAGTAAAAGAAAAAAAAAAAAAAACCTTTTGTATTTAGAGAAAGACAAAGACGGTAGTATAGTTTTTTGAATATCAATGGGAAATCAGTAAATAGTTGTTTTTTTCATTGTTTTTCTATACTCCCGTTTTTTTTGGTTAATTTTTGAAACAACAAAAGCTGAAGGTAAATTATTTGAACAGGAAAAGTGAGCTTTTGGAAACGAAAACACAGTGCCATGTACCGCAGATGAACTGCTTTTTGCATGGTACCGATCATTGGCGTACACCACCGTTATGGCCACAGGAATATGGTGAATTTTGTTTTTGCCAAAATGCTAACAACAACACATATTGGTGTCTTCGAACGGTCAACGAAACTCATAATTTTTTGTACTGTGAATTTTTGACCGAATTTATCAGCTATTATGATCTGATAACGGATCCATATCAGGTGAGTAATTTATTTGTTTACTTTATGCATTCTAACTTTTTCTTTTTTCCTTGTTTTCTTTTGCACTTTAAAAGTAAAATTTCGAAGTAAAAGCGAATAAAAAAAGAAAAAATTGTTGAGTACATTCAGATATTGAAAAAGCAAAAAAGAATTGGTGACAACCATTAATGGGAAGAATATCTGAAATTAATTTGTTCATTATTAATATTATTTACACATCAATCATCAGTGCACTACCACTCTTAATAGTTTAATTTGTAGCTGTAAAAGTATTAGCTTTATAAAAGGAAAAAAAAAAAATTTTTCTGCTATTCTATTGACAAATTGGATTTGTCTTTCTTTTGTCTTTTTTTTATTGTACATTTCTTTATCGAACAATTTTTTGTTCATTTGACACTAAGTTAACTACTGTTTTCAAGGTTAAGCAACAAAAACAAAAAAATATTAGACCTAAATAAAGTTGCAATTGAATAAACCATTACAGTAATGCAAAATTAATATTTACTTCTGTTGTTGTTGTTTTTGTTATTTTTTTTTTTTACTTTTATTATTATTATAATTTTTCTTTTTTTTTTTTTTTTACAGCTTAAAAATATTGTCTGGTCGATACCAATTGGAATTTTGGAACAGTTGAATAAACAGCTTACAAAATTACATCGTTGTAATGGTGCCAATGAATGTGAGCATTTTTCATCACCAAATTGGTATCTGCCGTTGGACGATGGTGTTAGTGGTGATGGCAGCGGTAACAACGGCAACAACGGTGACAGTAACAGCAGCAGTGGTGATGGTAATGATGACGACGATACACTGTCCTAATGGTACAATTGACATCCATCGAATAGGGAAGGACTCTGTTGATTCTGCTTCATGAATTTTTTGATGATGTATCTTAATTTTTTTTTTTTTTTTTTTT